AGCTCCTCTACATCCAGGAAATACAATGACCAGCTTTCTCTTCTGTAGCCTAACAGGGATTCTGACTGTGCACAGACAAGGCTCAGGAGCAACCAGCTCAGACGTGCCTCTGCAGCACTCGTTTTCTCCTCTTTGTTCTCGATTTGTTCTCTATAATCCCTTCTTTCCTTCTCTTTTTTCCCCCCTCCCCGTGCCGTCCTCTCTCCTCTGTCCTTGCGCTGTCAAAACCACGGCTTTCTTTTTTATTTACCTTCTATTTTTTTCCCTAACCTTTTATCAGTCTCCTCTCTTCTATCTGTCTACTCTTAAGCCTTAGGCTGTCATTTCAAGTGCCCCGCCAAATAATTAGATGGGACATTTGTTTGAAAACACATTTACAGATGGGTATTATCCTCTCTTACAGACATCATTTTAATCAGACATGACAACAGAATGTGTTCAGGACTTGTCAGCTTGACACAAAGCAGGAAACAAACAGGAAGAAAGAAAAACAAGATTTCTCAGCATGTCTGTCATAAAACTTGGCCTTTGAATGACTTCCTCTGTCATTATTGAGTGTTTTTTGTTAAATTATACATCTGATAATTAAAAACAACAAACAACTGCATAATATTTGTCCTGACTGTTTCTTTTTCTACTAAAACTAAATGTAGAACATTATTTTGTTGTTCTGTAAAGTTTAATTAAAAAACAATAGCAATAGCACTTAAAACTCTTAAAATAACCTTGTGCTTTTGGTTAAAAAAGTATTTTTATAAGCTGTTTTAGCAATAGTTTTATTTTTCAGTGTCATTTTTCTATTTTGCTACACTCAGAAGAGCTTACCAGTTACTGGTATGAAATGAAAACTTGAAACATTGAGGTCAAGCAGATAATCTGAAAGTTTCCAAGTCCACAAATTTCTTTCCCATTCTTAGGCTGCATCATAAGGATCAGTTCATGCATGGAGCAGACACTATCAGAAATACTGGCAAATCTTTGTTTATCATTCAGTAAAACTGTGGTGTTCCTACTTCCAAACAACACATGAAATTCATCCTCAGAAAAAAAATACCATCACACAAGTGACAAATTTCATATTTTCTCCCCAACTCTCCTAGTAATCCTTGTAGCTAATCTAAAATCACAAAGATATTGTTGTTTGTCCATGCTTTCTTAAAAAAAAATCAAAAATTTTAAACTTCAGTTATTTCTTAAATTAAACATAAAGGCCTAAAGTCATGTAGTTGACTGTGAAAACATTATAAATGGTTAATATCTTACCTGGTGTAGATATTGTTCTCGACAAGCTAATGACTAGTCTGAGCTTAGACCAAAGTGAACAGCTGCCATTCTGAAACAAGTCAGAATCTCCTAAAGTTTATAGTGATTGCTATTTTGAGCAAGAAGCAAAACATGCTAATAATCGTGGTGTCCCTATGTCGATACTGGCCCTATCCCAGCATTTTAAAAAGTTCTTTTACCAAATCATCTGAAATCATCAAAATTCCTCAATACCTGGAATTGGTACCTTTTCTTTCTTTCTTTCTTTTGTTAGCAAGGATGTTCACATTATAAATGCGACCTCCAATAGACTCCAGTGGGAACGCTATGTGCCATCAATGTGACCCATATGCACAGAAGATGTCGTGACCTCACATTCAGCTCGCTGTTTACAGAAGTAAACATGTCTCTATCTGTGGATCCATGTTAGCTTGTCCATTCTGAAGTTGTTGTCCAATCAGAGCTGGTTAAGTAATAATCTGACATGCTTGTTTAGTTCCCTGTTTACATTTTAACCATTGTTTAGTCTGATGCTCCAGTGCAGCGTGTATTTATGGAAAAAAGTGGCGTGGAAGTAAAACTAATTAAAGGATCAATCCAGTAACTTTATTATTGAAGCAGTCAAATTCAGACATTAATATCATGTTTTAATGGATTTTCAGTCATCCGGGACATGGAAAACTTAAAAAACAAAGACAAATTAACTATTTGATTTAATACCAATTTACATATAAAAGAAATGCGTTTTTGTAATCGTCACGGAATATTTAAGTTCCAACTCAGTAAGTACTCGGTATCAGTATGCAATATTGGTGAGTACTCAAACTGAAGTACTCATACTTGTACTTAGTTTGAGAAAAAAACACTATTGGGACACCCCTAAATAAAATTATGCTGGTTCACCTTACCAGTTCAAAAGAGGCAAACCACTTTCTCTCCAACCTGAAGGGATCTACAGCAGGTAAAACACTATTTCACGACCCCACTTTAAAAGATTTAATCTTTCCCCTAGGAGTTTAGATCAACAAGCAGAGGTCATCTGTGTACATTTACCCGATAAAACCACTTTTAGAGCAGCCGTTTTTTATCAGAGATCTGAGTTTGGGCAAAAAGTGATTTCAATAAGAGGAACACACTTATGGAATGAACTACTAGAACACATCAGAGACTGTGATAGCTACGCCATTAAAAAAATGACTTAAAGCTTGGCTTAAAGAAAATCATGTATTCATTCGAAAAATACTGTATTTATTCATGTATAATACAATCATCATTTTTTGAGCTTAAATAGAAAAACAAATCTAACATCATGTATGAAGACACCACTCATTTCAGACAGACTTCAGGATATTTCAGCTCTTGCAGTGCGCCCTCTGCTGGAAAAAATATTATTTAGGGAGACATGCGTGTGTGGAGTGTTTTGCTGCAGAGCTGCAGGACAAGTTTCTGGTTCCGTGTGTCTCTGAAAAAAACAATCCGCTCCCAAACCAGGGCAGAAGCCAGTTGTTAATTAGCAAGACGAATTTATTAGAACATGCAACTAAAGTCCATGTCTTTTTTTTTACATTGTTGTGGTTAAAAAGAAAAAGAAGACAAGTTTTTCCTTTTCTGACTCTAGTGAGTAAACAACTGTTTATATTATATTTTATTATATAAATCATATTTTATCGCTATGCGTGACTTACAACTGGAGGGAGGGGCAATATTTAAGCTATATATGTTATTTAACTTAATGTGGTCGTACATCCAAACTTACCCCCGTGTATAGTACTGCCCCACCTCCCCCCACTTTATGGAAGATTTTTGTGTTTAAATTTCTTGTATTATACGCAAATAAATATGGTAGGTCTACTTGTGCAATGTTTGTAGGTTTTCTTGGATTGTTTTAAATGATTGCAGTATTTGTTTTGTGTAATTGTTTTATAAACCTTTTAATTTTTTTTTATCTGCTCAGGACAACAGAAGAAATTTAGATGTTGTGCTAATTCTGGCATTCTATTCATAAAATATCGATTATTGTGCGTTGTCCTTTTAAATAAATAAACAAATCATCGAGAGAATTGGAGGTTTGATTTCACCGGTATGAGGTTACATGTCGAAACATCCCTGGGCAAGACACTAAACCCCTCATTGCCTTGATGTGCACCATCGGTGTATGAATGTGATCTAAACAATAATTAGTCTCCATAGAAGGATTTATTGAGTTTAGCTTTGTAGAATGCAGTAAAGTGCTGTATGAACGTGTGTGGATGGGTAAATGAGGACACAGATTGTGTTGTAAAGCACTTTGAGTAGCCTGCTTGGCTAGTAAAGTGTTATATATGGTACCATCCATTAACCATGAAAACATACCCCTGCAGTAAGTTATCCCTGTCATTTGATGTTTTTCTTCCAGTTTATGAATCAGTTGTTTATCTGAACCTGTTTGCTCACATTCTTATGCACATTCTATCTTTCCCTGTTTTTTTATTACTCCTTTGTGTTCTTTTTTATCAGACTTATTCCCCCTCTTTACTTTCATCCCTGCTTACAACAGCTTGTGCTCTTGCCCTGCATCACCTGGGATTCACTCCACCTTCATGCAACCATCAACACACAAAAGCTGAAGGCATAACTGAAAACTTGAATTTCTTAGGTAAGACTTTAAATATTCCTGGATCCGTGCCCTCACCCAGCATCCAGGTTTTTTTTTTTTTTTTTGCTTGTTCTCAGGATTTTTGGATCACCTTTCCTTTGCTCCTCCAGTGACCCGGGCTTTGGTCTCATTTCTGCTCTTTTAGCAATTGAAGTTTATTCTGACTCAAAGCTTTCAAGGTTACTGTAACACGAATCTATCCTGCCAACGATTTTCTAACCCCCGGTCCTGCTGCGGCGTTGAAGAATAAAACAAAGCTGTGAGGTGAGTCCAGACGGGACGACACTGTGCCTCTTTCCACTGGACTGTGACCTGTGACTGAGGGTGCAAACATTTCATAAAATATGCTGAGGTAGGAGCTCCGGGCACACTTTAGTTCAGATTTTCTTTAGAGAGGAGGGGGTGTAGTTGAGCTGTGTACAGTCCTTTCAAAAATGATGCATTATGTTTCACCTTCTTCACCTAAGTCCTTATTCATACTTTATTTTTTACTCTAAATTGCTGCTGCTAATGCACCTGAATTGCACTGAGGGATAATACAGGCTATTCTATTCTATTCTATTCTATTCTATTCTATTCTATTCTATTCTATTCTCTCCTGTACATGCAGTTTCATTTAATTCCAGAAGGGGGCGGTGTTTCACTGATAAATTTAGATTTGGCTTTAAAACAGATTTTCACAAACTGATTCAGCAATATTAATATGAGATGTGAAGATACATTTTTTTCTTTCCTATGTTTAGATGTCAAATGTTGCACTTCCTGAAAAGACCCCCCACTCGCCAGATTCTTCAGTGATCTGGTTTCATTTGTATCCTTTTCCGTTCTGATCGAGACAAAACAGCAGTCTTTACAAACACCAACTACAGTTTCATATTTTTTCTTGTTGCATCGATCCTGCTGCTGACATTCACATTGATGACTGGGATGTTTATTAAACTAACAAGTACTGAGAAACCAACAAAGAGACATACTCAGTCCCATAAATGACAGGAACTAAAAGGAATCAGTGCAACAGACTGAGGAAAGCAAGGAGTGACTCCGCAGGGACTTAAAATCACACGACACAAACATGTAAGGAAGAGCTGCTTCAAAGACTTACTGTAGGTTGCATAACATACTGTTGATGTGGCATCCAAGACGTACTCTGGACCTACAGAGAAATGAGTGCAAAATGGAGAGAGAGAGAGAGAGAGAGAGAGAGAGAGAGAGAGAGAGAGAGAGAGAGAGAGAG